GTCTCGCGAATCAGAATTCGCGACAAGGTATCATATTTCAGTGTTTATCATTTAAATTCAAAATATTTTATTTTATTTAATAATATTTTTACATTTGCAAAAATCGAAATTTCAAACTTTAAATTGGCATTAATTAAAAACGAAACAAATTCCTTACCGAATATCTTCAAATCATTTAGTACTAAAAAGTTCCAAAAAACAGAAGATAAAATGCTTAAATATACAAATATTTCTTTTAAAAAATTAAGATAACAGGCAATCCTTTTTTTTTCTTACGTTTCATTGAAAAGTTTTGATTATTCGAACAAATAAATGAAATTTTCTCTTTTGTGGCAATAGTTTCAGGTTAACTGTCATTTGTCATATTGTATAAGTATTATTCAGTTTCAAAGAAATTAGTTCAAAATATTACAATTTAATTTCTGTAAAGGAAAATTAATTAGCAAAAACTTTCTGTGTTTGTTATTTCTGATGGCAAAAAAGATGAACATAAACAAAAGTATTGCGTAAACATGGATTAATTAATTTCTGATCAAAAATTTTATACAAATTTGCATAAACATGGATTAATTAATTTCCAAAAAAAAAAAATTTATACAAATTATTGTTTGTTATCTTTTAAGATTGCAATACAAAGGAAACAAATGAGAAGCAATAATGCTGATAGAATTATCGTTGAATGTAAAGTAACACTGATAAATGCTGTCCAATAAGCGAAATTGTCGCAGTGATAAGATTGGAAATAAATGCGGTCGAAATTTATATTTTGTTCTGGGCCATAAATCCAAATACAACCTGAAAAAAAAGGGCGATAAGTTTTTGTAAGTGAAATTTGAAGTTTAAATCGAAAAAATTAAATTATAATTTGGAAATGAGAAGAACTTCAAGTTATTGAATGATATGTAAGTTTGTTTACAATAAATTTAAAATTTAAAATATTTCAAAAATATTTTAGGATTTTGTTATATAATTTTCATTTTCTTTTAAAATTTTGATATTTAAAAGAGATTATGAAATAAACTCAAATTTTTCGAAGTAGATTTTAATCCAATTTAATGAATTTCAAATAAAATTTTATTATTTAAAATTTTTGTTCACCTAATTAATTACTTTGTTTTGCTATTAATTATTAGTTAGTATAAAGAAAAGGAAGGAAAAAGAATTGTATTAATTTATAGTATTGTTGAAATTACCTAAAAAAAGCCAAACAAATATAGCAACGATCATTATTCCCTCAAATGTTTTACACGTCAAATCAATGCCTAACGTATCAGCACGTGAACGTGGCCAGAAGGCATAAATTCGTAGCATACTCCAAAGAATATACAAACAACCCATGACGATTAAAAATATTGGAATCATTGGACGTGATGGACAAAATGGTATATTAACAGTACCTGAAATAATAATAAAAAATAAATAAAATAATATAAAAGTCAATTTTTAAAAATCGAAATTAAAATTTAAATCCTGCTTTATCAATTATCAATTAAAAATTCTTATTGTTATTATTATTTTCATTATTATAATCTTATTATTATTATTATTATTATTATTATTATTATTATTATTATTATTATTATTATTATTATTATTATTATTATTATTATTATTATTATTATTATTATTATTATTATTATTATTATTATTATTATTATTATTATTATTATTATTATTATTATTATTATTATTATTATTATTATTATTATTATTATTATTATTATTATTATTATTATTATTA